AGAAGAGAAGAGAAGAGAAGAGAAGAGAAGAGAAGAGAAGAGAAGAGAAGAGAAGAGAAGAGAAGAGAAGTTAAAATTAAATCTGTTCAAGCTTCGCCCCAGCTTTCAGAGAACGTAGGCAAAGCAGTGCCCGCTTTCACACAGCGCGGCCCGTGCTGAACTTGACTGCTTCCGCAGGGCAGCCTGCTGTGTGCCCCCCGTGCGCTTGGTGTGTGCATCACTCAGGGCCCTTGCGGGCAGGTCTCCCTTGGTGCCAGCAGAGGGGGAGAGCTTTCAGGATCCCTTTCCTGCTCCCCAGGGATGGTTCAGCCACATTTGGCAGCCCAGATGTGGTCCTTAGAGCTCCAACCGTGGCTTCATTTGGCCACCAGGCTAGGCTTGTTGCGTGACTGTAGCCATAGTTTCCCAGACTTCTTCCCTCCTAGCAGATGAGATAGTTGAACCAGCAGCTTCGGAGTGCTGGCCTTGGCCTGGGTTTCAGGTTTAAGTCACGGCTTGGGCAAGGCAGCGCCCCTGGCGATTCATATATGTGGGAATGCACCCAGCGTCCACCAGGCTCACGGCCCCCCCGACTTTATTTGCTTGCTTGGCTCATTAAAAGCAAAAATCAAACAAGAAGCTGGCTTTTTCCAAAGCAGCGTATTTATTTCTAGGAACACTTTTGTGGTCCCGGAGGCATTCTTAGAAAATGAAACCTGGAGGTAGATTGCAATCAGTCGGCCTAATTTGAAACGATGCCCAGCTCTCTGGGGAATGTGGAAGATCCTGGAGAACTGAGACAAAGAGTACTTTGCACAAGAAAACACATGTTCTTTCTTCTTTTTATTTGGGGGAGGGGGAGTTGAGGCTCCTAGGAAATTTAATGAGTTGGAACAATAAGAGTGACGTCAAGATTTAGGCTGATCTAGAGACCTGACACCATAAGGGTTCTTCTTTCTTCCCTTCCCTTCTTTCTCCCCCTTAAAAAGGGGGCAGGAAATTCTCAGTTTGCCAAGTGCACTTTCTCCCCATTTTCACTGCCAACAAAGTCAACACCAGGCCCTGCTCAAACACACCTTTCTTCATAGGCTCTCAATGCAAAGACACCTGACCCATTAGGGTGTTGTCAGGTTCAGCCCAAAGAACTCCAAGAGACAATGCAATTTCAGTTCTCTTGTGTTTACTAGCTACAATCTCCAGACAGAAAATCTCCCCAGACTGAACCCAAGTTCCCAAGCCAGCCAGCCAGCCACAACACCGTGAATTCCTCAGGGAGGTGCCAGCCTCATCCTCTTGAAGTTCCCACGCTCCTGCTGGGGGCTAAGAGCACGCTTATCTCCCTGAGCCTGGCCTTCATAGGTCCATTCCATCACAGGTGTGTTCTCCGGGCAGCCTGAATCTTGGTGGGCACCACCTGGAGTTTTGCTTATTCTCTGTTAGAAAACAAGACTTGGGGGGAGTGGGGGGGGGGTGTTGCAGTCTATAGCCCTTGTTGGAAAGGATGTCCAGATGCCCAGCAAAAAGATAGAAGGACCTGGGACAACCCTGGGGAGTCAGAACAAAGAGCAGCGAGCAAACTTGCACAAGATGCATGGATTTCAACTCCCAGAATTCCCCATCTAGCATGGATGGACTTCAACTCCCATGCTGGCTGGGGAATTCTGGGAGTTGAAGTCCACCCATCTTAAAGTCACCAAGGTTGGGAAACACCGGACTAGAGCAGTAGCTGCAACCCTGAGTTTTAGGATGATTTCAAGATCCTAGCCCCTAAGAGCACCATCCTTCTTCATTCCTTATCTGGGATTTCTCCACTGAGCTATTCTTCCACACAGGTCGAGCGATCTTTGTAAGTCTCTCACAACCCTTTGGCTTTCAGAAGGGCAGAAAGATTGGAAAGGCTGTTAGAGACTTATTAGCTTAAGTTATAACCCATCAGGCTTGATCCCGGGCTAAATTCAGTGATGGTGTGGGACATTTCTGAGCTGCGTTTGCATCTTCTTTGGCAATTGCTAGGGCTGGGGGTTGCGGGGATGGAAAGAAGCGACACCAAAATATTTTGGCTGACGGTTGCAGTACTCAACCCGCTTCCCTCTGCGTCAAGAGCCCAACATCACTTCCACCTCGTACGCTTCCTTCCGTTTACTATAATGGGAGAGGGGGTGCTGCCTGCAGGCATCGAGGGCAGAGGGGCTTCCTCTACAAGCAAAGACCAGTGGAACCCCGGGTGAATCTTCATTCATGCCAGCCACTGCAACCGAAAGTCCACACGACCAGATGCGCTAATTCTACTTTATTGTAAGGCTGCATTAAGAGAATCTTGCAAGTCTGCACTGTCTCTTTTGTAGCCTGAGAAGTTAGGGGGGTTCCTTTCTGAGTCTCTTTCTCTGCCCATTATGCAGCTGCGGGCCATGCCCTCCCTTATCTGACCGTTCCCTAGGCAGCGTCTCCTCCCCCCCACAAAGTTGTCGCTGAGTTGCACGACCCACTTTTTTGTGGTCTCCTTGCAGCTACTGGATGTCCTTGATCCCCACCCTCAACTGGTGTCTTCCAGACATATCAGATGGCAGGAGTCATGGGTCTGGGCATAATGGGAGTTGTAGTCTCACTCACCTGGAAGACCCCAGCTTGGAAGGAGGCTGGCCCTAGGGCCGTCAGAAACTGAATGAGGCTGGAAGAGGGGAAAGGCGGATTTGCAGGAGAAACCGGGATACCTAACCCATGTTCTCGGCTGCGTTGCCAGCCAGTGGGGAAAGGGGGAGGCTGGGTTGCCATAAAGCCTTGCCTGGGCTGATTCCTCGCCTATTTCCAAAAAACAGAACGTCTCCAAGAAGTCCTCAAGATGCACAGCTTCTGGGTCCTGCTGCTCTTCATTAGCCCAGCCACCACCAACTTCTTAAGTTTATCCCTGACCTACCCGGAAGCTCTTGAAGAGGCCGTCAGACTCTACAATGAAGAGGAAGGTGTCAAGTTTCTCTACCGCCTTGTGAGAGCTGAACCCCGGCCAGACTGGGTGAGTTGCCCAATGTGGTGGAGACATTTCTGGTCCACTTGGCTGCCCACTTGACCGCTCCCTGCTGCTGACACGACACACCAAAAGACGCCCCCGTTTCCCCATCAGTGAAACATCCTAGGCAGCTAAATAGATCTATGGGTGTCTGCAGGGAGCAAGGGTGGAAAATGATGTCCCACCTATCATGAGACCCCCACGGTGATGTCATGATATGATGTCATGATATCATTGGATAAACCAGACATGCGTCACATTCTCCTTCCATCCAGAGTGCCATATCAGAAGAAAGCAGGACAGCAGCTTCAGGGGCTGCGAGTCACTGTCATCCTTCAGCTATGAATGCGCTAGATTCAGTTCTTTGATTAAAAGAAAAAGGAAGAAAATGGTTTAATTTTAAGAGCCTGATAGTTATTGATGGATTTACCAGCCCGCAGTGGCCCAGTATGGTAGGTTACAGTCCATCACCCTTCAATAAAAGGGCCTTCATCCTGCAGTGGATTGATCTGGGATGACGGATGACGACGATGATGATGATACACACATACCTGCAGCTGGCTGGGGGATTCTGGGAGTTGAAGCCCACCTATCTTAAAGTTGCCAAGTTTGAAAAACACTGATGTAGAGAATTATCTTTTTTTTCTTTACCCTATACCTTTTTTGTATACAATAGGCTAGGTTTCCAACTATAGAATTTGTTTACATGATAATGCTCTAGTTATCTTGTTATATCGCTGTTTAGTTCCTAGGTAATATCGCCAAGTATTAAGGTTCTTTGTTTAAAAAGAGGAAAGTTAGTGGAGACATTTTTGGAGCTTCACCAATTTTTCAAAAGCATCTCCTCCCCAGGACCCTGAGGCAGAAGGAGTCCAATCCCTGAAGTTCTCCATGAAAGAGACTGTCTGCTCAGCCATCGAGGGCCTCGACTTCTCCAAGTGTGACTTCAAAGACGACGGGGTAAGTGGGAACATCCAAGTCCTTGAGCTTTTACTCCCTCTGACCTTGGACCAGCTGCCAAATTCTGCTCCTAGAGCC